GCCCGTTGTAGGGGGGGTTAGGTCTTGTTTTTAAATGGGGAGGGGTAGGGCCTGAAATAGAAATAAAATGTGAGGGAGGATGTTCATTTTAAAGGAGTGTATTCTCCTGATACAGGAAAGGGGCTTATCTGCCCAGGTTTCCAGGTCCGATATGAGTGTGTTAATCATAGGTGTGTAGTTTAGTCGATGTAGTTTAAAGGACCACTATAGTGCCAGGAAAACATACTCGTTTTCCTGGCACTATAGTGCCCTGAGGGTGCCCCTACCCTCAGGGTTCCCCTCCCGCCCGGCACTGGAAAGGGGAAAGGGGTTTAAACTTACCTTTCTCCAGCGCTGGGCGGGGAGCTCTCTGCCTCCTCTCCTCATTCTCTCCTCCTCCTGGGCTGAATGCGCACGCGCGGCAAGAGCTGCGCGCGCATTCAGCCCGTCGCATAGGAAAGCATTTACAATGCTTTCCTATGGACGCTGGCGTGCTCTCACTGTGAAAATCACAGTGAGAAGCACGCAAGCGCCTCTAGTGGCTGTCAATGAGACAGCCACTAGAGAATTTGGAGGAAGGCTTAACCCATTGATAAACATAGCAGTTTCTCTGAAACTGCTATGTATATAAAAAAATGGGTTAACCCTAGAAGGAACAGGCACCCAGACCACTTCATTAAGCTGAAGTGGTCTGGGTGCCTAGAGTGGTCCTTTAATGGGATCTGCTGGTAATTTATTACCTAGGTATGTGAGAGATGTAGGTGAGATATGGATGTGGTAATCTGTTTTAATTTGGGTGATTTCCGTCTCTGGGAGAGTTATGGGAAGCGCACTGTATTTCCCCATGTTGATTTTGTATCCAGAGATAGTGCTTTATGTCGTGAGGAGTGGGATCAGTGCTCGCATGGACGGGATGGGGTTAGTTAAGGTGAGCAGGACATCGTCGGCGTATCCGGAGACCAGGAAATCTTGGGCTCCCACTAGAGATCGAGGGGTGTTCTCTTATCGCCTGTAGGAGTGGTTCGAGGGTTATTATGAAGTGAATAGTGGGCAGGCCACTCCTGGACCGCGGTGATGTAAGGGGGAGGAAATCCTAAGAATTGCAACAGTGCGAACATGCAGGGCCATTTTACGAGGTGGATGGTTTTTTCTGCGTCAAAGGAAATGGCCAGTGATGGTGCTAGTTTCCAAATTACGTCTACATTACGGCGTGTGTTCTCGAAGAGCTGTCTGCCCGGAATAAAACCTACCTGGTCAGCATGGATTAAGTGTGTTGAAAACAGGTTTAGTCTCTCTGCAGGTATCTTGGCAAATATTTTGCTGTCGTGGTTAATGAAGGAGATGGGTCAGTATGCTCCCAGTTTAGGGAGTAGGATTATGTTGGCTCATGTCATGTCTCTTTCAGGGGGGGACTCCCTGCCATCATGTCTTGGAAGAGGGTCTCTAGGTGTGGGAGCAGTTTTTCACGAAAGATTTTATAGTAGCCCCCTTCAAAGCCATCTGGGCCTGGGGCTTTGTTAATCTTAAGGGTTGAGATGGCTGAATTTATTTAGTCTTTGGGAAATAGGTGCTGACAGTTCTGTTGACCGACCGCACTGAGTGAAACAGCCGAATGCGGTTCCATGTGAATGGGCCCTGCGGTCGGTCCTGGAGTCAGGGAATGAATGACATGAAAACCTCTAGCTATAGAGGCTAGGGAGGGTTCGCCTGAATCCCCTCGTTCGGTTCTTTCTATCTACCGAACGAGGGGCCGTTCGGTAGTTAGGAACCGAACAGACCGGGCTTGTGGAGGTTTCAGAGGTGCTCGCCTAGTCGAGTGTCCGATTTGAGTTCCAGACACTCGACGGCAAAACACCGCTGTTCGGGAGTTTTAAAATGGCCGCCGCCACGTGTTCGTTTGTCGAATGGCGGCCACCCCCGAGAACAAAGGACGGCTACTTAACTTGTCAATTACCCGTTCGCAACAATGTTGCAACGGGTAATTGAGGACACACTTCACACAGGGGAGGTCTGATTGTTCGGTAGTTTCATTCCCTTAGTTTATTCGAATGATTCTACCGAACAATCAGAGGAATACATTTCTTTTAAACACATATAAAACCAGCAGTTTACACGAATGCAGCTATTCACATGAAATTTGCAGGACAGCCCAGTGCCATCCGCTACACTTCTCCCCTTTGCCCACAAGCCGGCATACACAGTCTGATCCAACACGGATCGGCTTGGGGATGTCCGGGGACTCACGGATCATTTTTCCAGGTCAGTTTGTCTCGACAACCCGTCAGCATTCCCATTCTGTTTACCCGGGTGGTACTGAATATTAAAGTCAAAAGGCTGCAGCGCCAAACTCCAGCGCAGCAGCCTGGCATTGTCCCCAGCCACCCGGTTTAGCCATACCAACAGGTTGCGATCCGTGAGTAATGAAAAGAGCTGTCCATATAGATACGGCTACAGTTTCTTTAAGGCCCACACCACAGCCAGGCATTCCTTCTTGATGGTGGCGTAGCTTACTTCTCGGGGTAACAGCTTGCGACTGATGTAAGCCACGGGGTGTTCTCCGCCATCGGCCCCGACTTGGCTCAGTACTGCTCCCAATCGTAGAAGCGTCTGTGTGAACAAGAAAACGTTTAGTTGGATTGGGAGCTGCCAAGACAGGGGCATTTATCAGTGCATTTTTCAGATGTTGGAATGCCTGCTCACACTCCGGGGTCCAGGTCACCTGGCGGGGCAGATTCTTCCGGGTAAGGTCAGTAAGGGGCTTGGCTAGGGCACTATAGTTAGGGACGAATTTTCTGTAATACCCAGCGGTCCCTAGAAATGCTAAAACCTGGGTTTTAGTCCTAGGGGTGGGCCACTGGGCCACGGCCTCTACTTTGGCTGGTTCGGGCTTCTGTTTGCCGCACCCCACTCTATGTACTGCACCTCGGCCATCCCTATGCTGCTTTCTCGTTTAATCTCCTGTAGTCCACGCAGAAGCGAGTCGTACCGTCTCGCTTTGGTACGAGCACTACAGGCGAAGCCCAGGGACTGAGGGCTCAATCACCCCCAGTTGGAGCATCTCCTCGATCTCCTTGTGCATGTTTTCCCTCACTGCTTCCGGGATGCGGTAGGGGGTCTGGCGCAT